ACCGGTAGCTTAGTGTGGTGAAGTCCTTAAGGGATACCAAAACGGGAATTGCTGCAAGAACTTAAAACTTGAATGAAGAAAGCCTTCGCTCGCAAATGCTCAGTTAAATAAATTAATAATTGACGGTGAGAGTATAATTTCAGCGAGATGGGGATAAGGCATTCACATTTTATTATGTAATCGTCAAAAAACGTTTTCTGCTAGTTTTCTACTCGATAAACTCTCGAATTTGCATAATCTTTTGGTAGGAATGGTATTCTTCACTTTAGAATTTTTTGTTTATTCTGTTTTTACAGGATGTCCGCAATGAGCACAATTGACGATCACCGTCTCGGCGATTTAACGGAGTTCTGTCGATCGTTCGACTCCGACGGCTTCGTTTCGTGCAACAATTTGTAACGACGAACTATTAATTTGTGTAGATTTCCCGTGTTCTAGTCTTTAGTGGATCGTCTTCTTGATGATCTTGGTATGTACGTATTCAGTGCTTTAGATCGCCATCATGACCCGCATTACCGACTGACGAAACTCACTCGGGTGCCATCTTATTCACTTTGATTATACATATTTTCTCCAATTCATATTGCCTACTGCTTTTCATCGGGGTGATTTCACGCCTTTTTTTGAACATGACGTAAGTCAAAAAATGCAACGAAAAACGGTGGTTTCGAAACTCCTTTTTCACAAGAAAAAAATAAAATGATCTTCGCAAGCAAAGATTTTTTGACTTTGCTCTGCTTTTCTCTATTTTTGTACTTCTGTAAGAATAGTCATATTCCAAACAACGATTGTCATTTGTATGTGCATTTTTATTGGACCTCCTTTGCCTGCCGTGGAGAAACCATGGAGGAAGAATCGATTCAATTTTTTGTTGTTCATTTTTACAATGGCAAATTGTACGTAAGCTTTTTGATAAATGGTCATTTGTGGACTTCGACTACAGTATTCATAATCATCTGTAAACGTAAATGGTATTTTTTCAAAATATCCTATTAGTGAATGGTACAATCGGTTCTCTTCGTCTACCCCACAGTCATAACCAAATCGGTTCCATTTGGCATGCATGCTCAGGAGATACGGTGCCTTCTAGGGGCTAAACAAACCCTGCAAAGAATATAGTGGTTCAGTTGGAGACACAAAGTTGTTGGAAGTTAAATTGACACTCGCGACTTAACGTATACAATCCTACATTGAGCCCTGTTGCGCTAAAGTTTTTACTCCTCTTTAGATTAGCGCATCATTTTTCCAATAAAGCGTGAAGCAAAAAAGTGAGCAAGCCAGGTTTTTTTCAATCAATTATTTCACATCCTCACATAAACTTCAAAGAAGATGTTCTCTATATAAGAAAAGAAGTTTCTTAGTAGAAAATTTCTGCCATTGCCGGAAATACTGTACATTCAGCGTTACTTCTGAAAATCATTTGTTTCCTTCGATTTTTCCACAGAAACAATAACCTGGTGGACTCTTCTGAAACTCAAGTCGAAGAAAGTCTTAAAGCACCTACATGGAAATATATTCCTACAAGTGAGCGTTTCGAAAACCTCCATGATATGACCATACGGTGTCAATATGTTAATAAAAAAGTGCACTTTGTTGAGTTTTGTCCAACGGCAGAATTGACCAAATTTATCCTAATTTTATTGTAGCAATGCTAGTGTTAGAAGTGCCATTACACTAAATTCCATTGTATGTGCGATGTCAATATATAGTGCAAACAGATTCGAATACAAAGCCTTTGTTGGGAGGAAGAGATTAAATTGGTCTGTATTCACAACCTAGTGGTTTTTAGTTAGTGGAAAGTTCTCCTGTTTCATTGCATTTCTTTTCTCTTCGAGAAATACATGAGGCTCTTCTACTTTATACTTTGTTCAACCTGACCATTTTCTAATGCATAGAACGTAGAATAAAAGTACGATAATTTTTGAAAGCCTTTTAACTTTTACCGTCGTCTGATACTAAGCACACGATTTTGCCTGTTTGACTATGATTATTGAAGCATTTTGCAAAATGTTCCAAAAACCTATATAAATATTATGTGTATTATGTATATTATGTGTATTGTGTGTAAATACTTGTATATCCTTAATATTCTTATCTTTTGAACTCCCAATTATCACTGCACGAGGTTTGATTTCCGATATGCACGTATTTTGTAAAGATTGCTGTAGGATTACGGTTTGCCGCAAATTACGGCTACTTATAATGTAAGATTGTTTGATATACTAATTATGATATCGTAATTCTGCTCTGTTGAATAGGGAAATTATGGTTACAAGAATAGTGCACAAAATGTGCGCGCTGAATTCTCTCTCGCACATCTTACGCAAATTTTTAAAACGACTTTCCTTTGAAAATTGCAAGCGAATTCGCTCTTTAGCTTACGATAAACCAAACACCTATAGAGGTTATCAGCAAGAATCAAACTTCAACCTCTTGCATTTTTTTGGAAGCACATATCAAATTAGTCATTTTTATACAAAGAAAATGCAGTCCTTAGGGGATGTAGCATTTTTGAATAGGCAGGATAGATTCAGAATTACCATATCTGCAAGCCTTCATTTTGGAAATTCCAAATTTAAACCTTTATCGCAGCAATATGTATGGTAATTCTAAGATTTCTATTCCTTCAAGTAATAGACCTGAAATGAATTCAATGACATTTTTTTGCATAACCTCCTCTTATCAAATTTAATAAGAGACTGTTGGAAGATCAACTCTCTGAGTTGAGAGCTCAAGGAAAGTGATATGGAGGAGTAATTTGTATTAAAACCAAGCTGGTGTCAGAACTGCCTTCCGCAACATAGCAGCTGGAAAGCGCGAGCGTCGTCATAGAAACCACATCCGTTCAACCTCTATGTCAAAACCAACATACGATGCTAAATTCCTTGTTTCTGATTACTACATCTTTTCAAATCTTTTGTGCATTTGCAGATTGCCGCTTAGGTGATTGCTAAATGTCGTCAACGCCGCCGCCGCGAGCCCCAACCTCCGACAAAAAGGTTTGGTAAAGTACTTTTTATCTGATACCTACCTCATGGAAATTTAGGAAACAGCAGCAGTTCAAATGCAGTACTGGTGGCGAAAGCATCTAAAGCGCAATGAACAGCTGTCTGAGAAAGCAAGGAAAATGTAAGCAGAGCCTTCTCGGCCAATGGCATTAAATTGCCGAAATGTTTTAGTTCGGAATGGCGTGGATTACAGGATATTTCGCTCCACAATACTGAACTCATTGAGAAGCTGAACGCTATTAGGAGAAGAAAGGTTAGAAGTTTATGCCACAATCTGGTAAACACTACCTAACGTACAAACCAAAAATGCATATAATGCTGACTGAAATAATTACTGTAGATTGAAGTTTTCAACTCTGCAATTAAAATGGACAAGACTTGATGTAGAACACCACCAAAGACCTTGTCATTTAATAGTCTGCTTTCTCCTTGTCGTGACAATATAGTATGATTTCCATAAAGGTTCAAATATTTCAAGTTTATGTGTTGCAGTGGCATCTAAGTATGAAAATTCCACTTTTCCGTAACACTCCATTACGAGACTACCATAGGTATACGGTAGCGTCTGGTGATTGTAATGGATTGACTTGAAGAAGTGGACAGTACAAAGCAGATATGATGTTTATCTTCAACGTACCATCCGCTAAAAGTTTCCACATATTTTGAAGATTATTTGTTTAATTCATGGCTATAAACTTCAACCCACAAATCAAAAATTTTATCACATAATGATCGTATAGTGACGTGACGTGTTCTACGCCTTTCTAAGGAAAAAAGCTGAATATGCTTTATTCAGCTAAATGCTGGAAATGATAAGCAAATAGAGGAACTTTGGTAACTAACAACGTATCTTATATGGATTATTTAGGGGAACTTATGTAATTCGAACGGTTTATTTGAAATGAGTTGCGTTCTAGCAGATAGGGCTTAGAATCCTGACTAATTCTACATACATTATCTGCAAAGCGCTTTTTGGAAAGAGAGCTTTTTCTCTGCTAAAATTGGCATTCAGTACCTGTAAAAACTGTATAAACATCCTTGAGCTACAGCAGCGCAAGAGCTCAATTCTGATCTTCTCCCATTCTGCTTCACTATTATTTTGTGGTTTAGCAATTTATGCTCAAAGAGCGATTATTTGAATTTTTATAATTCCTTCCTGAGAAACATTCCAAATATTGAAGACAGATTGGAAATCGGCGCCACGCTCTGTCTGTTCATGCACTTTTTATTCTCAACGGCCGCTCAAAGAAATACGTGTTTCCTTGTTTGACTCATACCTAAATTTAAGCAAGTATTTGATCAAGAAAAGGTGTTAGTGTTATATGATGAATATACGCTTACCACAAGAAAATTTCAAACTTGTGAACTCTTGCTCAGAAGTTTTTTGTCATCAGTTAAGTAGCATACCAACTGAAATATTAAACAAAGCATAACAACTGTTAATATTTTCCTATATTTTCATTACTAATACTAAACATTACTGTGTTGGCATCATTTAGGCTTACGATCTTATGAAATACGAGCATATACTCCAACTACCCGCACGAAAAATCGCTGAATATCTAGCAAAGGAGTCTCAGAAGCCTTCAAAAGTTGTGGAAGCCGAAGATGAAGAAATCATAGAGAGAATTGAACATGTAAAGAGGCATGAAGCTGCAGTGATTATACAGCGAGCAGTAAGTTTGAAATCTGCACAAGTGCAGTTCGAGTCAACACCTTACTTTTAGTTCAGAAACTACTACAAGAGAAGAATAGCTGAGAGATACGTCCGCGAGATTACGAATATAAGGTAGGCCTATTGAACCAATGCTTTTAAATATATATATATATATA